ATGAATATATATATATATATATATATATATATATATATATATATCCATATATTAATATGGATAAAGCTCATTAGCGTACGAGACGAATGAAATTCCTTTGCTTTGCTCCGTAAGCAACGCAACGCGTATTAGATGAATTTATTCTGAATACTCGTTCATGAAATCATTACGAGTATATTTGTTATTGTGCCAGTGCTCTAAATATGGAACAAGATTGAAATATATACGCCCTTGGGAGCGTGACAAAAAAAAAGGGAAATAAAATAACTGAACTGGAATATCAATCTATCTATCTGCTTCATATGCTATTCATCAGCTGAAGCTATGAATAATGTAGTCCACCCATTTTGGGCGTGGCAAATACATAATATATTGATACATGTTTGCTGTTATCTGGCTGTGCATTATGAACAAGTATTATACAGTCGCTTTAGCTCGACTTCACCATATTTACTCGATTTTTGTTTTGCTTTTTAAATGTTGGTCACACTTTGTTAATGCAAATGCAAATGCCAAGCAAGTGCTTTTCAATTGTTGTTGTTGCTGTTGTTGTTTGGCATGCGCTTAATATGCAAAATATGCATTGCTATTGCTATTGTTGTTGCTGCTGTTGTTTGGTGCCACGACAAGTTGTGGCTGTCATTTTGCGTGATTGCTCATGCGACGAAACAACAAAAGAAATGAGTTATGAATTGCATTTGTGTATGTGTCTACTTAGGTGAGTGCTTGTGTATTCGTGTCTGTGTTTCGGTTGTGCTGCTGTGTGTATATATTATTACAGGCTGCAATAAATCTTAGTCAGCTTGGACCACAGGCATGTGCGGAAGTTGTTATTGCCCAAACCAGTTAAATGATAAGGCGCAAATAGTCGACGATTAAGATCGCATATATACCAGAGATGTATAGTATATATATAGCTGAATGTGCACATGATAGACGACAGGCATTGGGTGAGAAACAAGGATAATGCAGGTATGAAACAGCGAGAGTTTAGTTAAAGTAAGATATACATATATTTTAATTAATATTTAAGTAATGGTGTTTGCAAAATTTTTAGAAATTAAAATTCTTATCCTTAAATGGAAATACCTAAGAGAAATAAATATAATTAGGGCATAAATAAACTCGTTTTTATACCCTGAACCCATTTTCAATGGGAAATCAGGGTATAATGGTTTTGTTGAAATGTATGTAACAGGGAGAAGGAGGCGTGGCAGACCCCACAAAGTATATATATTCTTGATCAGGGTGACGAGCTGAGTTGATTTGGCCCTGTCCGTCTGTCTGTCCGTCTGTCCGTCTGTCCGTCTGTCCGTATGTATGAACGCGTCGATTTCAGAAGATATAAGTGCTAGAGACTTCAAATTTTTTTTAAATGTCCGTAATTACAGCGCGCATATCAAGTTTATCATTAAAAATCGATAACTCATCTCGATCTTTTTTTATCGATAAAAAACCTTATCGAAACCCAGTTATAAAATTATATCTTCTACACCTTTATTGCTAGAGTCTCCAAATTTTTAATGTATGCTTATATGCAATTTATACAATTTCGGTTTTTGTTAAAATTTACCCCCCACCTCTAAATTCACCCCCCTCACCCTCACTTTTGTAAAAAGCGTATTTCAAATACTAGAGACTTGTGCTTTGGCAATTACATGCATATTCATGTTATAATCATAATCTAAAAGTTTCATGAAGATCGTACGTCCATAAAAAAAGTTATTAAACAATTAAGTTCTCATAGTAAGCGCACACTGCAGCCCATGCGTGTTTATGCGTGGTTGCTTGTATGTGTGTGTGTATGTGTGTGTGTGTATGCGTTTGTGTCTGTATGCGTGTGTGTGTATGTATACCTGTGTGTGCGTACGTGCGTGTGTGTGTGTGTGTGTGTTTTTCTTGTGTAAGCTGAAAGTCGCGAAAAAGTATTGAAATATCTATTGCTCCAAGGGTTCAGGGGATCTCGTAGTCGAGCAGTCTCGACTAGAGCTTTCTTACTTGTTTGGGAATATAATTGTTTTCTTATGAATCATTTTAATTTTATTATTGAATATTATAATTATTATTTAATTCTATGATTCGTAATTTTTATATGCCAAGAACCCTTTTGAAAATGGCTATATAAAATTTTGTTGTTCAGATGTACTTAACGGTCAAAAGGAGACGTGGTAGATGTTATTAAGAATATATAATAATGTATATAAATATAAGTTATATAAGAAATTATTCTTGATGAGCAAAAATCAGCCAAGACGATTCTACATCTGCTCAGCTGTCTGTGGTCGAACTATGAGCTATTATTTCTATATCAAATAAAAATTCTCCACAGAACTCGCAGATCAAATTTGCTGCCAATTAGCCCCAAGTCTCAAATCGATTAGAAGCAATGTGAAATTTTCGATTATTTAAGCATGTGTCGCACGTTTCTCGTGCTAGATTCCCAGCTGGAACAAGATTCCCCCGAATAAAACATAAACTTCGACTACACCAACCACTATTTAACGGCTCCGAAATTGCTTAAGCATTCAGAACGCTTCGCTTTTAACACCAAGCCTAGCTGACATAATTATTATTATCTATACTTTTTAGCACTTGACGCCACTTGCCAGAGTATCTTTATCTTGTCATCTGCTTAGCGAGCCAAGTTAATTTTATTATGTTTCATTTGTGACTTCCCCAGTGAACCCAATTTGGGGTTTTGGTCTTTGAAGCGCCGACGGATGCCATCAGCAAACAGCTGACATATCAAATATTTAATTATCGCATGCTTATTTTATTTTTCTACTTTTTTCTTTCGTTTTTTGTTCTCTTGTAGTTTATTTATTCTTATGCTGTTCTTGCTTTTATTTATATTTGCTTTTTTCTGCGACTTTACGAGCGTTTCTCGTGTGCAATAACCTTGCCAGACTTCGCAACAAAGTTGACTTGACTCGAGTTGACTTGACATGGCAGCTTTACAAAACACAAAGCGCGAAATCTTAGATAAGCCTCAAATTGCGTTTCTTTTATATGTTTCACACTCTTCTTCAATTTTGTATTTATTTTTTTCTTGCCGTAAACAACTCACGGCTAGCATGAAAAGTAACTTCATTGATTGTTCGTTTAGTGGCGCCTTTTTTTTTTTTTTTTTTTTTTTGGTATTTACAATTCTCTCTCTCTGTCCTCTACTTATTCGTCAACAATTTTGAATGTTTTTTTTTTAGCTTCCTACACACTCTCGCCGCACGCAAGGTTAACTTTCACACACGTCTCTCATGGAAATTGATTTGTTTCCTTTTACAGTTTTGCAATATACGTAATTCCAAATTGATTTCGATATATTTGCAATTTAGTGCACAAGGTTGACATTGCGACATTTTGAGGTCTTCTTCATTTCTAAATGGTTCTTATCGCTCGACGCTCCCTCCTAGGCACATATCGTAAGGCGATTGCAATTGTAAATTAAGTAGACATTGTCATTGGATTATATTTCAAATGAAATATGATTCGTTTTATGTTTTATTTTATTGTTGCTATTGCAGATTTCTATCGAATCAAGTTCTAGTTTATATTGATTTTACTATTGAATTTCCTTTGTTTTAGGCTTTATTTCTGTTTAAGTGGTTCGTATAGACAAACTGTTCTATTGTGTCATTTGAGTACTTGTACTTGATCTGAGTTTTTATATAGAATACATGCGTCAACATGATTCAGCTGCTTTAAGTGAGGTTATACAAGGGATATGTAGATCCATGTAATCTATGTAACCCTGATATACATATTTACATTTGTAATCAACGTAAGCCTAGCCCAGTTTTCTTCATATTTTATTTCCAAATATTAATTTAAATAAAATCGATATGGGTTCCAGCAAAGAGACATTAACTAACTCATTTATTTTTTTTTTATAAATTATAAAATCTAAAATAAATATTTAAAATCTATCATGATAGATCATTTACATAAAAAAAAGGACAAATGCTCCATACTCCAGTTAAAATATTAAAAATACTTGTTGAAACTTCTCCCATTTCATATTACTACTAAATTTTGTTGGCCTGTGTAATTGCCACTAGTTTAAGTTGAAGATATTCCAATAAGCACGCATTAAGTGACGCAAATCCATTCAACTTGAATCACGTGTACTTGACTTGTGTTTCTAACTAGCAAATATCTAAATACATGCTCAATAAAACTAGCCATTTTCTAGCTATATATACATACATTTCTATGTAAGTATATATTCATGTGCGTTTGTACGATAATAGCGTGCATACACATGTCTCGCCTATCAATATCTATGCAAAAAAAAAAAAAATAAATAAAAAAATAAGTATAGAAATATAAAACAGAACCGCGAATACGCCTTCTTGCATGGGCGTCGCTATCATTGGGAAATTGTTGGCTGCATAAACTGCGTTGCATGTTTATTAAATTAAAATAACTGCAAGCTGATATACAGTCGCACATTGTGTTAATGCGACAATTATTATGAACTCGAATTTATAGTACATAAATTTTCATTTAGCCCCAGTCGACAGAGTCACAATTCTGCATAATTATTATTATTTACTGTGGGCTCAACGATATCTGGTTCTAGATTCAGTTTCAATTTCAGCTTCAGATTGTGCGCCATTTGCACAGCTGGCGCTGCTTTGATTACGCTTCAAGTGCAGCTTAATGCTTTGCGTAGGAATTTTCATTAAAAAAGTCAACAAAATGAAAAATTCAAATGAAATTTAAATAGAAATTTGGCTCCAAGTATGCAAATGAGGTTTTTCCTAAGCACAATTTCAAATGGAATGCAGTATGAGCGGATTATTAGAAATTTCTGTACGCTTCAGGGGGATATACATGAAAGTCTTTTAAGTACACAATTATTAAAATAAGTTTGTATATATTTTCTAAAGCAAAAATAAAACTAAATTAACATTAAATATCTGTATTCGATTTAAATTGTTGTCAAAATATTATTGAGCTCGATTCTAAAATACTCTTAATTAGATTTATCAAAAACTTACCTAATATTGCTTATGAGTTGCTTTTTGGCACAAGTTTCTCAATATATATGTAACTTCTGTATATACGATTTTCTGTAAAAAATAAATAGATGGGAAAATAATTAATAACAAAATATTTATTTATGATAAAATACAAAATGGTTCAATAAAAATCTAAGCAAATAAACAATTTATCATATATACAAGCAAAACCTTTTCCATAAGCCCCCTTTAACCCACTTACAAATGAAATCTGTTGAAACCTTTTACACCAACTAAAAGCCCTTTGACCCAAATTTCATAGTTCTCACGACTGAATAGGTTTTTCTTATCGCCGCATTACGAAACCCACGTAAATTATATATAATTCCCATAGAGTGTATCTAAACAAAATGATAATAAAATGTGTTTCCAGTTCAGTCTAGGGTATTTTTGGTGCAGCGCCTGTCTGCCCCATTATCGCTCCCACTGATAAGCGTTGTAAAACGTTAATAATCCATAAGGCTAGAGGGCCCCTTAATCAGTAATTGGGGGCGTGTGAATCAGTTGACAGGTGGAGATAAGTTGCAACAGTTGTCGATAGAAACAAACCAAACAGAGAAAGAGAAACAAAGAGAGACGGAGAGAACGAGAGCTAAATTGATAAGCCAAAGTTTTCTTATCGATTTCCATTAAAAAGACTTTGACTTTAGCATATATATGTTCTATATAAATACATGAGCATTTAGCACAATCAATTTGATTCAGCCTTGTGAGAGACACTAGCCTTGAGTTGGGAGCGCTATAAGTATTTCCTGAACTGCGGTCCAGACCATTTGGATAACTATTGAAAGTTTCTTCAGAACGCAATTTGATAGGCAAAGATTATAATATAATAATGCTGGAAAACCAAATTGAATGGGTTGGATTTCTTGAACATTTATTATAGAAAATTTAGAATTTTTAAGCTAAATCTGCAATAGTTTCGACAAATAATTCCAAGCATAATTCTTGCCTACTCGATTCGATGCGATGTCATTTTATTTGATTTTCCTTTTTCTGTACACAGATCTTGTTATACCCTGAACCCATTGAAAATGGGAAATCAGGGTATAATGGTTTTGTGAAAAAGTATGTAACGGGCAGAAGGAGGCGTGGCAGACCCCATAAAGTATATATATTCTTGATCAGCGCGACGAGCTGAGTTGATATAGCCCTGTCCGTCTGTCCGTCCGTCCGTCCGTCCGTCCGTCCGTCCCTCCGTCCGTCCGTCCGTCCGTCCGTCCGTCCGTCCGTCCGTCCGTATGAGCAAAAGGATCTCAGAAGTTATAAGAGCTAGAGAGCTGAAATTTGGCATGCATACTCGTGTATATCATAGGCAGTACGAGTTTGCTTTATTTTTTTGATAACTCATCCGATAACTTTTTTATCGAGAATAATCGAAAAATTGGCATTGTTTTTTCAGCCTAATTTGAACATTTTTAGACCTGTAGTCTTCTAATTTGCGTTGTATATAAAGTTAATCGATACAAAGATTTTGTAATTTACAGATTTTGGATACCACGCCCGCTTCGCCCCCAATTTGTAAAAAACGCATTTCAAGTACTAGAAACTTGCGCTTTGGAATGTACACACATATTCATCATATGATTACACTCTGAAAGTTTCATTAAGATCTTATGTCTACAAAAGAAATTATTCAACAAATAAATTCTCATAATATTGCCCACACTGCAGCGCAGCCCAAGCGCAGTCGCTGCTTACTGCGCAGTTAGCAGAGCGCAGGCTTATGCGTGCGTGTGGATGCATGTGTATGTATGTGTGCATAAAAATGCAGAATGATTAGAATATCAGCTTAGAGGGTTCAGGGTATCTCCTAGTCGAGCAGTCTCGACTAGAGCCTTCTTACTTGTTTAGCTTTTGTATTTGTTTACGCTTATATAAATGGCTCTCAAGGGTCCGTTTCGCACATAAATCAGCTATACAAATAAATGATAAACACTCGAATGTGTCCGAGCAACAAATCAAAAACTTATTAAACAGCATAAATTTCGCATTTGCCAAAAGCTAAAGACGCGCGCAATTTATCACAGATTTAACTGCAGCGCACCCATTGACAACATGCGAAAGAAACAAAAATATTAACAAATGTGAACAAGAAAAAAAATGAAAGTGTCGACGTTTTGGAGGATCGCCTCTCGAATCGTCTTCTGGCATCTGGGTAGATATATGGGGTGTGTTGAGTGCACAGCACGTCTCACACATTTTTGTTGTTCAATTTAAATATGCAATTTGCATGCATGCGCAATTTTTTATTTTTTATTAAGGAAAAGAAAACAAACAAAAAAAAAAAAAACGCAAGAGATGAGCACAAAAAAAAAAAAAAACAACAACTTCCTTATTTATTTAGGTTTACTTTATTTCCAGCTGGAACTCGACGCACTCGAGCGCATTTTATTTATTATTAACGTAAATTATTTATGCTTTAAGCAACGAAATATTTTTTGGCGTTTCTGATAAATCAATGAATTTACAACAAAAGAGAATCGTTTTGTTAAATAAATTTACTGCACAACAGCTGACATAAATTAACTGAAATAATAATAACAAGTGAAATAAAATAATAATAATAATAATAAAAGCGCGCCAAATGAAATGCGAAACAAAAATAATTTGAAAATGGAGAAAAGTAAAAGAAGAAAAACATGAAGCAAGTGAAAGCGATCAATAGAAATAATAATATCTATTGCTCAGCAGCTGTTGTGCTGGTTTATATGACAGATTTATAAGTACTTTATTTATTTTCATATGCCACAAAGAGACAGTGAGACAGAGAGAGATAGAGAGAGAGAGAGAGGGCAATAGCATGCCAAATAAATAAATAAAAAATCAGTTGTAAAGGCACTTGAATTAATTGTGGCAGATCTTTTATACATACGTCTACGTAATATGACTGGGACAACTTTTTATTGATAGGACCGTTAAAGTAAATTGGAAAAGTCAATAAATGGGGCCACAATGCAAATGAAAGAGAGAGATAGTTCAAAGAGTCTTTAATCAATTGCCAGCGATACATGTTTATTGCAATATTAAATGAGCAAATTGCGTTTTTAGCATAGGGTTCAATAGACGCCAGCATTTAATACAATAAAATTGCAATAAAAATGTAAAAAATATATGTGATAAAAATACCTCGTAACTTCAGGCAGCCAATGGCAACTCAAGTCTCTTGTCTCTTTCTGCCAATAGCTCAGTTATTTCCCAGCAAATCAAATTCGAGTCAAGGTTCATGCTCAACAGCCCTGAGCCAGGACCTTTGGGATGTCAAGGAGCCGAACAATAGCACAATTAACGCCAGCCATAAACAGATATTGCGCATACGCCGCATGGCACATGCCCAAGTTACAGTTTCGGTGTTATTGTCTGTGGCTATGAAATGCACTCGTATCCTGTGCACAGCATTTTGAAAGCAACTTGTGTGCAGCTGCTAATTTAATAGCCAACGAACAGCAACAACAACAACAAGAGAAATATGATTAACCACAGCAGCAGCAGCAGCAGCAGCGCCAGCAAGCCGAAAGATACAAAATGAATGTTGCAATCAGCATGCAGCTTGGCAACAACAAGAACAACTGCAACAGCAACAACTGCAACTGCAACTGCAATTGCATGATTTTTGTTTTTGGCCTGTTGCGAGTCATAATGAAACCGAAAGCTGGCAACGTGCATGGGCCAAACAGTTGGCGTAAATTAACGTTCAAAACAGTTGAGTGAGAGACCATTTACACAATTTTTGTACGTACAATTTTATTTTTTTGCATCTGTAATTTTTTTTCCCCCTTTTTTTTTATTTTTTGTGCACACCTCGATTTTTTTTCGCACAGCAGTTGCTTGGCAAACACAACTGATCAGCTCGGCGGCGGCCTGCTTTATGGCTACATTTTGTGACCGTTGCTGCTGTTAAATTTGTCGCTGACTGACTTATCGGCATCTACATAAGGTAAATGCTTTTCATTTGCATTTTAAGCACCGACTGCTGCTGAGAAAGTCAACGCTGGGCATATTAGTGCGCGCTAACGAGAAATTCGCCAAGCATCGGTTAGAAAGTATAGCTAACGGGTTAAGTGTAACTGCTCATATGAAAAGTGTGGTCATTGCAAAGTTCATGGTAAATTTGATTCGAGTGGAGCTTAGTTACGCATTTAGCTCTTGGCTATATGGGGTTTTTATATATGTATATAACTCACTTTTATTTGCTTTTGCAAATATACATACATATTTATATACGCTATGTTGTTGACTGTAAAGTTTATCATAATTAATTATAGTTATATTTTAACATGTTCATTGTAAGCTTTTGGGTAAACTATATATATATTTCTACTTAATCATTTTTATTATATTATTAGTAACTAATACAAAACATTTCCACCCCTTATGCATGACAAATAAATTAGAAAATAACTTAACAATTTTGTCTGTCAACTAACTTGTCTGTCCCGAAATTCATTTATGTTTTCAAAAGTCTAAGCTTGATTTTAATTTTTAGTGATAACTATTCGATTTAACATCTTCATTGTAAAGTTTGTGATAATTATTAAGCAACTATATTTTATTTGCATAATTACTTTTTTTTTAATGCTAAATTCATTATATAAACACGGCCGCAATTAAAAATATTTTTATTAAAATTTCCGCAACACTTTTTAGAGCAGAAAATATTTAAAAATCCATTTCAATATAGTGCACATAGCTCTAAGCCGACTTTTATTCGATTTTAATGCTCATTGTTGGAATATGATTATTACAGCGGAGAGTTACGAAAAATGTAATCGAAAAAAAATAAATAAAAATTGTTGCCTGCTGTGAGGCGAGTTTTCAACACATTAAGAGCGAACGAAACGAAACGATCGTAAATAATATGTGAAATATTATTATAGTACGCTTCAAATAACATTTTCATGTTATAATTTTTGGTAGAGTACATATTTCCTGAGCTCCCCAACTATGCGGTGCTGTCATGTCTTTGGATTTGTGATCGCCCGCCTACTTTTTACATCATTTATTATGTGGGCAAAATCGTATAATGGCTGCATTTGGATTTTAAATTACAT